GGGAAAAAATGACTTATCTAGATTTGGATTTTTTCCAGTTAGCAGATTATCTTCTTCCTCATAAAATGTACCTATTAGCGTGGACAGACTCTAGTTTGAATACAGGAGTCCTCTTAAGACAGTTGGGGCACAAAACCATTTCCTGATATTTGGCATTCCAAACTCCAAAGTTATTTCAGCATAAATCTTTTGATCATATAATGGTAGGCAGTAGGACAGTGCCTATCAACAGTAGCAATGAGTCGTTGATTTTGCCACAATCTCTCCTCAGCAACTTTGTGTTAGAAGTGGAGAGAAATTACCCATTTAAAAACGCAATTAGAACGAGGTTCATCTGCTGCATTTAGATAGGCTCTGAGGAAATAGAAGCACCAGGACAGAAGTTCTCTCTCTGAAAAGAAGATCCAGAGAGATACTTCTAATAAAAGAAGTTAAACAGAGAAACAATTGGCCAGGAATGACTGCTAAGGACACCAAAATAAAAGAAATTGAAAATCAAAAGCCAACCCTTAAAGAGAACTATTGGTAACTTCCTGAGACATCTAATCAGAAACAAAACCTTAAATATGCAAAATATTTACCCATTGCATTATGACTCACACAGTATTGTTTCTGATGTACTCTAGGATACATAAGTGTGGAGCTAAGTCCAGTGGCAGCAGTCTGTGTGCAGCTTTTCTCAGGAGACACGGAGCTGCAGGTGAAGGGGCCGATCCAGATCAGCCTCAATGTTCCTGACAGCTGTGGCCTCCAGGCTGCAGACGTGGTTCCAGCCTGGTTCTTTAACAGAACTATTGGTCAGTACAGAATCTTTTCAACACTCTGCTCTCCTACCTGACCAGATGCACATGAATACATTTAGGGCTAGATCTTCAAAGATTCTAAATATGCAGAGCCGAATTGCATGGAAAAATAAAGTAAGCACATGAAATAACTGGGCGTGTTGTTGGTGAACTACAAAGCCTGTAAAATGAATAAGATATGCAAACAGTTTGGTTTCATTCTGTTTAAAGTTAAACTGTGCTATTGGCAGTTTGGACAGGCTGTAAAAGAAAGGTGAAGATCTGCTATGGAGTTGGAAGTAATGATGATAATATGAACAAAATAGACGTCCAGACTTTGGCTCAGTGTCTTCTTAAAGGGGTCATAGAATGTCTCTATAGGGTATTTGCTGCTGGTCCTTAAGGTCTCTGAATAGGGTTTGTAACATTGTTTGGGCTGAAAATGGCATATTTGCTGTTCTATGAGCCCTAATGACAGCCTGGTTAAAAGCCCTAGAATGAAACGACAGGTTTTCTTCCTTTTATGGTATGTTAATGAATATTTAGATGAGCTGTGGGCTTATTGGTTGGTTTACAACAAGCGAAGCTGCTGAGCAAAGATGCATCATAGCAACAAGCACTCACTCACTGAAACATCAAATTGTTGATATGGTAAGGTGACCAGACGTCCTCTGTTTCCCAAACATGTCCTACTTTTCATACCTAAAAAAATGTCAGAGGGGGAATTTACGGGGGCAGGGAGCCAGCAGACAGAGCGAACCAAACACAACCTGGTGACGGTAGCCTGGACACAGGCGGCCCCATGCCTACCATACCAGCCCCCCTCCTCTCACTGAGTCAGCGGACCAGCAGTCGACACTTCAAACCGGGCCCCCCCAGGGTGTGACAAAAATACAGACCAGAACCAAAAAAGGCAACATCCCAAAGTTTACGTCAATTCGCGGCTTCGTTTGGATTTAGCCGTTTTATGGTGGAAGTTTAGAATAGATTTGCAGGGAAAGGAGGTGTTGATGGGGTTTAAACTTCTCTGTACGTCCATTTCACCCACTGAACTATTGTTATTTATCTATGACGATTTATACTCGGTTTTGCATTCTATGACCCCTTTAAGACATTTTCACACCTATCCAGGAGTCTTCTTTCAGTTGAGACCAGTCCAAGTCAGGTACAAATCAAATAGCCACCCCTTGTTTTTCTGCATTGTTGGAACCCTTTATTGTGCATGGGCTATGTGATTGGTCTTTTGAATCATAATAGGAGTGCACATGTAATTTCTTTGGACTGAGTGCCATGACTGAAATGTAAAGACTTAGAAGCAGAAACCACTATCCTGTTCTCTGTTCAGGGATTTTTTTTTTGCTCTTTTAAGAAAAATGCCGTCCTTTCCCCCCCTTAATAATATGATAATTTTGACTTGGAATGGGCTTTTGTACAGGCGAACAAGTTTGCACAGGTTTAAATATTGATTTTATTGTTTTAATGTTTCATGTTGTATGGCTTCACTGCAGGTGGATGGATGAGGAAAGGACTTGGAATGATGAACCTGGTAGAAGGAAAACTGATGTGGACGTTTGCTGCCCCTCATCTGGGCTACTGGATCGCTGCACCTTTGTCCCCAAATAGAGGCAGGTTTTTACCTCAGACATGCTCAGATGTTTTTAACAGAATACGGCAATGGTAAAAAGATGAAGGAAAAGAAAAATAAAGAGCAACATATTTTATGAAGTACCCTACAAGCTCACTTGATATAATACTTAAAGACCAAAGCAAACTGATTGAATTAAAGTTCTCGGCTTGATGTAAAAAGTTAGAAGGAGACCAGCTGGTGAAGATTCTCAGTCATCCAGGTCATTGTCATTGAATTTCAAATTTGGAAAACAAAGTTCAGTGGTTTGTTTTTTAGTTTTGTTTTTTTTTTCTAAATTACAAGGAGACCATTCTTTTTGATCGGATGATATATGGGAAGTGGTGTTATTGATGTGTGGTGAACTGACATTTTAGAGTCAGAGAGGGAGGTACTTTGGCTTAGAAGAAAGTCCGGCGCGGCAATATGGTGGAAAAATGAAATCTGATGTATGGGTTTTGTTTTTCCTTAAAGTTTCATGATAAAAAATGAAAAAGAACATACATAACTTTCAGAAACTGACTTTTAGTTTAATCATCTCCTCTGGGAGGTCACCTTAAAATAAAACCATGTTTCTCAATGCTATAAAAATATAACAGACTGAATGTTTATAGTTAGTTTTAACACACAGTCAGCTAGTTTATCAGTTGGAAGTTTGCATCGAACAGAAAATGCGGTGAAAGCCCAAAAATAAAAAAAATATCCCAATCTTTTTCTAAAACTTCAATCTAAATGAACAGAAATTCCTTTAATTAATAAAATAGTTTAATCACCCAACCGAAGAAGAAAAATGTTATCCTGATGGCAAAAAAAAAAGAAAGAAAAGAAAACGATCCAGCATTTATAGACCATATTACCAAGATTACAGGAAGTGCATGTACATCAAGAGCTCCTTGGAATTATTTTGCTTATGAAAAAACTTAAGTTGTTGTCATGGAAGATGTTTAGCTTTGCCCAAAAACACATTTGCCATTCAATATGCATAAATAAATCACCTGCATGCATCTCAATGAAGGTATTCAATGAATGCCTTTTTGGATGACTGTGATCCAGTTTTGTAACTGGATAAAAAACAAAACAGTAACTTTGGATTTTAATTTTTTTTTTTTTGTCAAATATGTCTTTACCCAACTAAATATATGAAATTAAAAAGCCCTTTAAGGTGCAAATGAAGCTTCAAGTTGATTTTTTTGTTCTCCTATCATCTTCTCTAGGTATCTTTGGATTCCCTGCGCTTCTTGATTTCATCTCTCAACATTCGTTTTTTCTTACGGTTCTTGTTGGAGGAACACTTTTTGCTTTTATTTTGTTTCTGCTTGGACTCCTATGTTTCTGCAGGTAAAAAAATAAGTCTTTCACCTTTATTTTAGTCTGTTTATTTTAGTTTTTTATCTGAAAATGTTGCACAGATGAACACCACCCTTTTTAGTAATTTTCTGTTAAGTTTAGGTTTATGGTGCTTTCAAATTGTACATCTTAGAATTGTATTTTTTTTTTCTTTTTGTTCTAGGATGTGTTTCCAAAAATGTTTAAAAAAAAAAACAATCCACAGGACTTTGTTTCCAAGTTTGAAGATGTTTCGCTTCCCATCCAGGAAGCCTTTTTTTAATTAAAAATGTCAGAAATAGGATTGATTTCGATGCTTTATAGAGTGGACCAAAAACTGAGCCTTGTGTGGCTTAGAAAACATCCAAATTGAACCTGATGAACGGGTCCGCCCCTTAAGAATAGGGCAGGACGTGTGTTCAACATTAAAAAAAAAACATTAACTGAAACTTCGGCCTTTTGTCTTTGCTGCCATTTAGTAATAGTCAGTTTAAGAAATTTCCCTTTTAAGCACTTTAATAGGAAAATATGGTAATGTTCAGTAAACTAGAGTATAGTTTCTGTTAAGGTCAGTTTGCAAGATGAAAAGTAGCTTTTGAAATAACCTTTTGTCAGGTAATAACCAAACTTTTCATTAAGCACACATTCTCTATTAAAGTGCTTTTTTAATTGGACTGATGTAATGTTCTCACTTCAAAATGCTTTATTCTGTAAACAGCTAATCATCACGATTAGCAGAAATAATGGCTTGCAAGCACATCTGCATGGAATTAATCTATTTACTGTTTTCAACTTTGTGATGGTGTTCCGGAAAAAGGAAATTATGTTTAAGAAAAAAAATGTAATTCTTTAATATGAGTTTAGGTGCAATTGATATAATTTATTTAGCATTCAGCTCAGTCCAAAATCAATCAGTCATTTCCTAAAAGTTGAATTAAACAGTTCTTACAGTCCAGCTCAATCCTCTCTATAGGTTGCTCTTTCTATACTCTTGTGTTCACTCTTAATATTCATTCTTTGATATTTTTCTTAGGAAAGAAAATCAAAAATTTTTTTTGGTATTAGCAAAAATCTTTCAATACTTTATGATCAAGACTTCTTTAAAAAATGGGAGGAAAATCCAACTGCTTGGAGGGAAAATGCTAGCCTCATGAGACCATCCTGATCTCGCGAGCTTTCAAGGTTTCACTCGCAGATCAGTCTGGAGACTCTCCGTTGAAGAACATTTGGAGCCGTTCACCAAACGAACATCCAATCAGCGTTGGCTTTGAGGCGGGTTGAGGTGTGACACAATGAGAAGCGATACAGTTCAGTCTAAAGAACATGGCGGCTTCAGCCAAT